CACAGCTGTGATCCATCGAGGTGGTACTGTCTTGTGGGAAAGAAGCCATGGAATGGCCAATGATGGCGGGGACGATGGGTCACCATTTCAACATGCTTTCTGCACGACAAAAGAGTGGATCGCCTTGCTTGGACTGCTGCAAAACAGTGAACATCGAGTGCCGATGGAAACCAGAGAATCTACGGATTTCTTGGTTTGTGTCGACATGCTCGCGGAACAATCGTTTCTCTGAGCTTTGATCGCCTGCAACCAAGTGCATGCAGTGTGTGTCGAGAGATGCAGTGAGTACTATGACGGCCTGACGTGGTAATTTAACAAATGCAACATGCATCCACGTGCATCATGCAGGATAATTTGTAATTAGGAATCGTGAGAAAGCACTGGAAAACAGTGAAAGGCATTTTGCCATCGTTACTTGACTTTCACTCTTCAAGTGGAGAGTGACTCTGTGCGACGATGAGCTCTATCAACATGAAGGAGCTGAATTCACCAACATGTAACCTATAACCCTGCTTCGCGACTCGCTCAGCCATGTAGGAGGCAAAAACTACTACTACTACTGCTGCTACTCATGCTGCTCCTGCTCCTACTCCTACTCCTACTCCTACGCCTACTCCTACCACTACTACTACTACTACTACTACTACTACTAATAGTAGTAGCAGTAGTGGAAGCCGTCGCACTAGCAGCAGTAGTAGTCGTAGTAGTAGAAGTAGTAGTAGTAGTAGAAGTAGTAGTAGTAGTAGTAGTAGTAGTAGTAGTAGTCGTAGTCGTGGTGGTCGTAGTAGTAGTAGTAGTAGTAGTAGTAGTAGTAGTAGTGGTAGTGGATGTAGAAGCAATAGTAGCAGTAGTAGACGTAGGAGGAGAAGCAGGAGCACAATCAGCAGCAGCAGCGGTAGTAGTGGAGGAAAAGCAGCCGTAGCAGTAGCTGTAGCAGGAGTCGGAGTGGGGTCGTAGTCGTAATCGTCGTCGTAGTCGTGGTAGTTACTTGGTTGCTGGAGGCGGAGAAGCAGTTGAAGCGGCATATACGGTTGCGGTTGCAGTATCAGCAGTCAACTTGCCATCGAGGTGATCGACTATGACGAGCTTCGGACAGGGGAGCGGAATGAAGCTACGTTTACGATGCTGCTTGCTGGGATTGTTCAGGGGTCCAGTGCGGGCTTAGTCGACTTGATGCGAGAAAGAGTAGATGGCCGGCTTCAGTACTCGTCAGTATTTGATGATCCGCAAGCACATCTGCCGCGATACCGAGAAGACAGTTTTTGTTTAGTCCCCTCTGTTGGTTGTCTGTGGGGGTTAGATCAAGATCTATCTTAGGATTGCAGGGGGCAAATTCCAGACAACCAGTCGGCATGGCTTACAAGAGGAAAGCAATAAATTATGCACTACTTGCTCGTTTGACTCTGGCACAAGATCACTGCAGCTCTCCAGCGTGGAGCTTGGCGCATTCGTACGTCTCGTTTTTTTTTGCAGCTTGTTTTACGGTTGCTGTAGTTGCGTTTCCTCATCAACTTGGGTTAGGCATTGGTTTTGCGCTTCTCAGGCTTGTGCCCAGGAAGGCTGCCCCACCTGAGGGACAACCCATGGCGCTAAAGCAGCCAACCCCAATCCACACAAGTTTTGGCACCCAGCAACTCCTGCTGGGCTTTGCAATATCCCAGGTTCGCGAGCTTCATTCCCAAGGCATCCGAGCATCTGCAAGTTGACAAGACTTGTGGTCTTCGTTCCATTCCTCTAACAAAGCATGGCTTTGATGGATCTGCTTCTTCATGGGTTTAATGAGGACTTCTTCGTGGTTGCAGCTCGGCGAAGGGGATTCATGCGCTGCAAAGACTGAAGCCTAAATTCCGTAACAAGTGTCATATTTCGTGGCAATCTCTGCCTGCCGCACGAACAACAAAATCAGTCTTGCCCGATGCCAACGAGCTAGCAGCAATGAACGCAGACGTTGCCGTTCGGCAGCCTTTTTGCACAGGTTGTCAGCGTGCCGGCTTCCGCCTTTCCGTTGACCATTCTGGCAGTGCTCCTTGACCTGGCCCCCGAACGTCAGACTGCCACCGCAGAGTCGGGTTGATCCCAATTGCCGATTCCACTGGAGGGAGATTCCGAAGACTTGGATCAGAGGGCTTTGTAAGTCAATGCAGCCGTGGTCTTCAAAAGCCTCACATGGACCTTGGCCTGCAGCGAGGCTTGGTTTCCGAGATCCGGTAAACGGAGAGCTGCAGGTGCCCGGGCGGGGTGCAGGGAAGTGTGCTTTTGCATTCTAGATGTAGGGAGAGGGCGGCGTCAATTCAGCCTCACGTAGTGGGACCAGTATCATTAGGATGCAGTGGCAGAGAGAGACAGAGAGAGAGAGAGAGAGATACTTTTTTTCGGGGATTAAGCCCCAGACAGTGACCCCGGAGCACAGCACCAGCACAGAGAAAAAGCCGTTGTTGTGCAGCAATCATGTTGGAAGTGCTCATGTTGTAGCGCTTCTTCCCCAGCGACTGTCCGTGTGCCGGGCTTCGGGGAGAGGTCAGGCAGGTATGCCAAGGCAGTGCAATGCAAGGTTCGGGGTTGGTTCGGGGATCGAGGCGACGACAGGCCAAAGGTGTGGCGTACAGGTGTAGTTTGTCGGGGGAGGGGTGTGCCTCTGTCTTCTACCTGCAGCAAGCAAGAGACTGCATGCACAGGAGTGATGGTTCCATGTTTGGACTTCGCTCATCACGTGCATTGGGGGCCGTCGTGGGAACACAGCTTGATGTGGCATGCCTGTAACTTCAACTCCATGTCTGTGGTCAGCCAAGTTTCGTGCCCCAGTCTGTTGTCCAGGAGCAACCGGAGCAGGTGCGCTGGGGCGTGAGGCACGGGAAGAGTATGATCAGAGATCCATCAAACACGCCCTAGGAATTGAAACAACTGGTGCACAACAAAGGCTGCCAGCTTCCTTGCCCGTTTTGAAGCGGACCTGAAAGTTGGCAGTTTGGCCCAGGCTCATGTTCTCGGTCGTGCCGACATTGCTTGCGTCTCTCGCCTGTTCAGTCTGATGATCCAAGCAATTGTCTGTCTGTATGTATGTATGTATGTATGTATGTATGTATGCATGTAATGTATGTCTAGATGCAGATAGATGGGTTATATATATATATATATGACAGAGATGCCTCTAGGGTCTATTTAACGAGTCGCTTCTATTATTCTGATTATTTTAATTCGCAGTCCTTCAAAATAAATAAAATACTTACAATAATTGAAATCGGCCGGCCGACTTAAATTATTTCAACTATTTCAATTCGCAACCTCCCGAAATATTTAAAATACGTAAAATCAGCTGATTTTACTCATTTTAATTGTTTCAATACGCAGCCCACCGAAATAATTAAAGTGATTAAAATACTTAGCTGCTCTGAGGGAACAGCCAATCCCAGGGATTTTAAATAATCAAACTAGTTGAAATAATTTAAGGAACAAAAAACTCAAACCGGCCGATTTGACTTATTTCAATTATTTCAATTCGCAGCCTCCCGAAATAAGCAAAATCATTAAACTCAGCTTATTTTAAATGATTATGATAACTATTTTTACTTCTTTCAATTATTTAAACTCCGTGGGATCGGGGTCCCCTGACTTATATAGAGAGTTATGTTAATTGTTTTTCTTATTTCAATTCGCAGCCCACCGCAATCGAAATAATTGAAATAATTGAAATCATTGAAATAATTAAAATAATTCAAATCGGCCGATTTTAATTATTTCAATCATTTCAATTCGCAGCCTCCCGAAATAATTAAAATAATACAAATCAGCTGATTTTGATTATTTTACTTATTTCAAGTTTTTAAGACCCCCGACCTATATGTTATTGTAATTTTTTGAACTATTTCAGTTCGCAGCCGCACCGAAATGATTAAGATATTCGAAATATGTAAAATACTTATCTACTCTGAGTGGGCAGCCTATCCCAGGGGTTTTAAATAATCAAAATACTTGAAATAATTAGAATAATGAAAATCAGCCGATTTTCATTATTTCAATTTAATTCGCAACCTTTCCAAATAATTCAGATAACTGTAATCACGTGATTTTACTAACATGTTAATTATTTCAATTATTTAAACTCCCTGGGATCGTCCCTCCCTACCCGCCCTACCCTGCCCTCCCCTGCCTCCCGTCCCCCCCCTTCTGACCCCTGATTGTCCCGATTGACAAAATTTTGCCGACGAGCTGTTCCCGGAACTTTGGTTGCCTCATGTTATTTGCTTTCCTGATGTTACCGATGGGAAATGACAACACGGAGGATTGGACCAAATTTTGCCGCGCAAGCGGAGGCCATGTCAATTAATTTGAATATTCCGGGACACAAAGAGTTTTATATAATTGAAACAGTTGAAATGGCACCCGCTTGCCCGGCAAAATTTGGTCCAATCCTCTCTGTTGTCATTTTCAATCGGTAACAGCAAGAAAGAAAATAACATGAGGCAACCAAAGTTCCGGCAACAGCGCGCAGGCAAAATTTGGTCCAATCCTCTCCACTGTCGTTTCCTACCAGAGAGGATTGGACCACATTTTTGCCGATGAGCTGTTCCCGGAACTTCGGTTGCCTCATGTTATTCGCTTTCCTGATGTTACCGATGGGAAATGACAACACAGAGGATTGGACCGGATGCATGGTGCCGTGTAAACCATTGTATCCATCCAACAACCAAAAATGCAAGGTTTCTTATAAGCCTTTTTCGTCTTCCAGCAACAAAAACGTAAGGTTTTTTTGAAGCACTGGTTTTTCTCCACATTCAGACATGCAAGGTTTTTTGTAAACCCGTGTCCTCCGCCGACATAAAACATAAGTTTGTTTTATACTATTGTTGTATGTGCTACATTATGAGCAACATTACTACTATAACACGGTTTGCTTTGATGTTGATGGCACCTTTTGTTGATGATTACCGTTGTTCATACTGCTTCCTTGTGCTTGATTTGCTTGTGACTTACTACTAGTACTGGTATAATCACTGGTATTATCAGTGCTGTGACGGTAAATTCTACTAATTACTAACCGTATGGATTGCAGTTGTTATTGTTGTTGTTGCTGCTGCTGTGGTGAATGAAAGACAACGTCCAATGAGGGGGACACCGCTTGGAGTTCACCACCCGATCTTCTTCGGCATCGTACACTTTCCCCTTCATTCAGTCATTATGTTTTACCTCCCCATCCTCCAAAGAGCAGCCAACCTCTCCATCTTCAAGTGTCATCTTCATCGCCAACATCTTCTTGACCTCCATCATATGACTCTGTGATTACTGTGGTTCTTGTTCTTGTTGCTGTTCTTGTTCTTGTTCTTGTTGTTGTTGTTGTTGTTGTTGTTGTTGTTGTTGGTGATGATGTGTTGTTGCTGTTGTTGCTGTTGCGGATGAAAGGCACAGTCCGACCGACACTGAAACATAGACTACAAGAACAGATAACGGGTACTGCTTGCGAGTGAAGGTCTCAGAAGAATGAATACCAAAAGAGAGGAGGGGGACACTGCTGGCGATCGAGGATTGGAAGGAAAAGGACCGTCGCCAGACACTCCAATATTCAGTTTGTTTCGTTTCATTGTCATCATCAACATCCTCATTACCTCCATCACATGATAAGGTGAGGGTGGTCGGTTTTTGTTGTTCTTGTTGTTGTTGGGCTGTTGTTGTTATTGTCGTCGTCGTCGCTGTTGTTGTGTTGTTGCTGTTGCGGAAGAAAGGTAAAGTCCGACTGACACGACAACGTAGAATACAAGAACGGATAAGGACGACACCGCCCGCGATAGGTTGCACCCCATTCCCTTCCTTTGACCTCTATGACCTACTCCCCCATCCTCCCGCAAACAAAATTAGCCGGTCAGGCTTCGAACCTTCTCGTCTCGTACTCGTTCATCATTTGTTGTTGATGCGGTTGTTGCTATGTTGCTATTGCTGTTGGTTGATTGGGGACCCAGTGTATGGTTCAATGGTTCAACCTTGTTCTTGTTGTTGTTGTTGTTGTTGTTGTTCTTGGTGCTGGTGTTGTTGACCCCCGGGCTTACAAACGGGCCTGGGATTTCGAGTTGCATGTCGGGCTGAAAAGGCTGGAAACGTACACGCCAAGGAAAATAACTGGACATTCATGCCAACATACTGTTTGTTGTGCCACTGACGGTCACTGCTTGTTCATGTCCGCGGCGGTTGTTCATGTTGCTCACTTCTGTTCTCATCTGTGTATGACTTCAATTGCGACTTATTAACCGTATGATTTTGTTCAGTATGATCCCGAACACGTTGAGGATGACTACTGCTAATTGTACTGCTTGCGGGTTTTGTTGTTTTCCTGCTATTGTCGATCTTGTTGCTACTGTTGTCGCTTGCTGCTGTTGTCGGTCACAGTGCTTGTAAACGGGCGTTGATGTTGCAGCTGGAAGATTGGCTGTGTACTCACACCAGACGAACGACAAAGACCAACTCAAACGAACGACAAAGGCCAACACAGAACCATGGAATATATACAGCTTCAAGTACACGTCTTGCCAACAACACATACAACAAGCGACGCTAGACAAAACGCAATAAGCATCATATGCACACCGAAGCATGTCGATATTGTATAATGAATTTTATTGTATGCTGTTTTATTTCTAAATAGCACTGACCCACAATCACTTCGTAAACTTTGCAGGATACTTATACGGTATATATGATGCAGGCCTGCCACACCCCCTCCCCCCGCCACCCCATGGTATCCCCCCCCTCCCCCCAACCCCCTGTGGTGGCATCCCCGCCCTTAGC